AAACTGAGTGAAATCGGTTGGCGATGGTATCCTGCTGGCTTCAACCTTCGCCGGAAGGGGCTATGTCCTTCGATAGTGACCATCAAACTCTGCTAGTGGACTTCTTCTCGTAGAGGGAAGAGCACATCTCTACTCGCATACGGAAGCAGCAATTATAGATGCTCTGGGAGTTGCTTCCAAACGTGTCTAGTGTTCGTCCGTGGTTCTAACAATTGTAATAGAGTCATCAAGGTAGCAGCATACCTCAAGTCCGGGAATTCCGCATAAACTTGCTTCTAGAAGCTTTCGCGGTCGGCTTCACTCTAGAGAGGATCGATTCTGACTATACCAGTCGGGTCGCCCGGCTCGCGCTGGTCCTCATTCCTTCCTTCAAAGAATAGTTAAAAAATGATGCAGTTACGGGAAGGGGGGAGGCTTCGCTTGGATTTAGCAATGAAGATTTTAGTGCGAAAAGGACGGGTAGCCGACCTTAAAGCCATGATGGGGTATGAGTTGGATAGTTTATAACGTGGTAGTTCAACCACCCCCTCCCGGTGCCCCTCTCCTCATGAGGCCCAGGTCGAAAAAGTGTGTGATGAAAAAGTGGGCTAAGGAACGTTCCGAGCACAATTAAGGGCTGACCTCCTTATCCCTATTGCTCAATGTTAAAAAGGCGAAGTCCCTTGACTACATTACTACCTCCGAATTTTGTATAGACATACATAGCATGATTCTAATACGATACAGTTTTGAAGTACCCACTCAACTTCACATTTTTCACTTCACTCGCAGTACTCACTCTCCTCCATTAAACTGCCCACCACCGAATTGCTGCTTTGTATATCAGAAGGAAATAAGAAAACTGGATTTCCCATATCACTACCTTTGTCGTAATCATAACGTTTAACGACGGACACACCGGCAAACCGACACACCCACAAACACCAAAATCGACAAATCGACAAACCGACACACCAAGTCACTGCTATATAAATACATAAGAGGGATAGACCTTAATGGATGATTATCTTCAAGTGTCCCTAGGAGTCCTTAGCTTTTTCTAACAAAGGGAGGATATTTGGTCGCAGTGGCCATTCAAGATGAGATGTATACCGCCTTCGATGGTTTCGAACGCTGACCTCAAATCTGTATTCCACACCTGCTGAACGACTGTGGGAACAAAATTACGGGACCTATGCCTCCCTGTGTTACACCACTGTACCGAACAGATCATCGTGTCGAGCAAAGACGTGCGATGGTACAGCTGGCACGATGATGGGCTGGTAGGCATTAGATCAAGGCTCGGCTCCTTGATGCATGCGTGTTACAAGAAAAGTTTTCTCGTCTTTCACCGGTCGAATAAGGGTAGAGCCCCATTGGAGCAAGAAAGGACTTCAAATATTTGGTGGAGGACATCCGCTCTTGCAGCATAAGAGTGCAGCATCTAGGAATGAAAAAACTAATAAAGAGCTTTCTAACAGCTTCCCCTTTGCGAAGAAGACGACTGCATGGGGGGCGATCGTAATGATAGTCTAGATAGTCTGTGGTTGCCTAATGACATCAAAAAGGGTGGGCCCTTCGCATCGCCATAGGAACTTCGTACATTGCGGGCATATAGAGGTTTCAAAATGAAACGTAGCCTCCAACTCGGTGATCTGGCCCATGAGCTTCAATTTTGTGGCGCTGATAGAAGTGTCCGCAGCCCTCTATAGTTCGAGTACCGAAAGTAGGCACACTTCTTTGTACTTAGAAAACAGGTTGTGTTCCATCATGACAACTGCCATTCACGGAAGTTATGGATAAGTGAGAGAGGCCATGAGCATTAAAATTAGTCTACTTTCGAAAATTGTGATGTCCTAACTAGTTGCAGCTATCTCGGGCGAAACAAGCGGACCGATCTGCCTACTTATGGAGATTAGCGGATAAGTTGGAAGGAAAAGTTAGCATATACCCTAAAATTCCATAGATAAGAGCGGTTTAATTCACCGGTGAAAAATGAACTGAAAAAAATTGAAATTGAGTGCAATCCGTTAAAATCGCTATTTTTCTATGTGAATTGTTTATTAAGTGGGCGGGGTTTAGAGTTGGGGGGCGGAGCTTCTTCTAGACTTCTCCGATTTTTATTTATCCATCCATCAAGTTAGAGTGGTGACTGCATTCAATTCCATTTTTTTCCAATTCATTTTTCACCGGTAAATTAAACCGCTCTATGGAGTTTTAGGGTAATTAATGTATGAATCTC